CCAAGAGAGTTGATGAGACAGAGTCCCACAAACGGACGGGTATCTGGGCTGCATGGTCATTAATTTGTTCTTTCAATTGTTCAACTAGTTTGCATAAATACACAATCCCAAAACACCCGTGCGCGGAGGTTTCACCGTCTCTGTTCCAAAGACACAAATTGATGCATCCAATGTGGACCTAGCTGCTGCATTGATGAGATTCAGCTGCATGGTACTTGTACTTGCTTGAGTTGTGAGTTCATTTCCTTTTGAGTGATTCGGTTTTTCAAATTCCAAATGCTTCAACCATGTTGTTTTTGCATTTGAGGGCACAGCCTCCGAACCTCCCTGCCCGCAAGCGTCCAGCGCCCACAGCGCCGGCAACTTTTAGCTCGAGAGCATCACCTCCAACGCCTCTATCTGCATGTGCCTGGCACCCCTGCAGGACAGGAACCTGAACTGGATCCAGCAAAGAAACTGCAAGAAGACGACAATAAAAGGAGAAAGAAAACCCCAAAGACTGTTGAACCTTTTACCCCGCTTGCAAAGGGACGGGACATGGCGCAGAAACTTTTGAAAAGAAAAGGTGAGGCGGATAAGCTTTGCTTGACACTTCAAAGTGTTCCATAGGCGCAGCAGCTGGTATCTGACATGAGCAAGTACGTGGTTTGAGCTTTTTGCTTGCATTTATGGGAGTGGTTCTGTCACGCGCACATATGAAATACATGCGATGCAAAAATGTGAAACAGCTCTAGAGGTGTGTTGCCGCTATCAATCTAAGGTCCCTCTACCTCAAAGTGCAAGGATTGGTGACTGCCCAAGTGAATGAGGACTACTCCACAAATTTGCATGTTTGTAACTACTAAACACAATATGGTTGACTGTCTTGAGCACATGTGATTCCTATGTGACTCTTACCACACCATCTTAAACACTGTCCAGGAAGATCCGTACCTCCCACTTGTGAGAGAGAGTATCACTTTGAACAAGAATTTTGACAAGCCATATGCTGCAGCAAGCGCTCTCAGCAGGCAGTTGAGCAAGCCAGCCTCTAAGGCAAAAGCCAAGAGCAAGGCCAAGGCAAACGCAGCTTAGAGCCCCATGTGTGTGTGTGCGTGGTCATATGCTTGCACTATACAACAGTGTGAGTGTTTGCTTGGGAGCATGGTTGTTTCTACAGAATGGTGTTCAGAATGGTGTTGCGTTTAGCTTGGCTGTAGGTTCACTGACTGCCAGGGCACACATCTGTCAGTCAATCCCAAACAGTTTGTAGTTTCTGACATGTACTGTCATACGTCAATCAGAGAGTGGTCCTGGCAGCCATGTTCAATCGCATTTGTGGGGTGGCTCAGAACCTGAGCTCAATTGAAACATTGAAGCTTGGGAGAGCCTTGGGGTGGCAATGCGTGTGAATCTTGCGGCAAACATTTTCCCAAGCTTGTGAGGCAGCTTGTGAAAGAAAACCATGCGCTGAGTGCTGCAGTATTGTTTTGCATGTTGAGACTTTTGACCACGCACGTTTTGTTTCCTCAATGAGTTTTGGACAATGTGACTTAGTGGGCAACTCTCTCGCAGGTCCAGCAGTGGAGATGAAGGTCGCGTTTCTAAACACCGCAAAAAAAGGTACCTTGCCTGCCCTGGAAGGTTTTGCGGAGCTGATTCATGGCTAGCCACAATCCCCGACAACAACTCACACCTAGGTCCGTGGATGAGATCGACAGTCACGCTTTTCTTGGTGTGGCTGAGCGGGTTGCTGAGGGCAGACTGTCTGTGAATGCAGCTGCTGAGACCGCTGCCAACTTCAAAGAAGATGGTTGCAATAAGGCTTGCTTGTTCAGTGAGTCAATGAAAACGTCAGTCTTGTCTAGTTTGCTGCTTTGGTGGCTTGCCCCTTAGGTGAGTGTGAAGCAACTTGCCACTTCTCGAGAGCGGGGGACTTTTTCAAGTGGATCAAGTTGCCTATCCCGCTCCTTAAAGCTGAAGTGCCTGTGAAAACAGACGCTAGCAGTAGCTATGATGTTGACTGCCGTGCGAAGCAGCACATTTCAATTGTTCTGCCCAGTGACCACCTACGAGCTTTACATGATGCAGGTCCAGAGGTTCCCCGGAGAAATGCATTTCTTCCATACGTTACCTGATTTTTCTTGGCGTGTCAATTGGCTGCAAACCTCACGGGTGTGAACAATCGACAATTCAAGGGTGCAAATTTTTTGTTACATGCCCGAAGGTGATGTCTCGCTGCTTGGGCGATTGGTCTGATTTTGGTGATCTTTGGCGTGGGTCTGGCAATGAGAGCCTGGCAGCTACTCACATACCCATTATCATACATGAAGATGGTGTACCTCACTTTGCAGGCATCTCGGTCAACATTTGGATGGTGTTCATCACTTTTTTTGGATGGTGGCCCAACGTGACTTGCAAAGCGACGTGCTTCTAGGTGGGACGGCTACTGTGTGGAGCTGGAGCACTGGATGTCTACGCGGAAATTCATGGGAGACCAGGCACGCCATAGCTATTATGGGCACAGCAAAGGTTACCGCTGAAACACGAAAAGAAATTTGCAAAATTTTGGCTTGGGATCTCACTCAGCTTGAACGCGGCATCTATGATGCGCTGGACTACGCTGGGCATTTTCATGCGCTAGGGTCCTCAAGAGAAAAGCTAGGAGAGCAACGCATGCCTTTAAAGGCGGTGATTTGGCAAAATTATTGACAGTGTTTGTGTCTTTTTTGACCCCTCTAACCCCATGTTGGAGCATGTTTTTGGTGGGGCAAGAGCCCCATGCACAACAGCTATAGTGCAAGGGGCTATATACTGCCCCATGAGCAGTAGAAACCCTGCATCAATGAAACTGTGGAATTACAGCTAAATCACAACCATGGCCCCTGCAGCCCTTTCAGTTTTTTAAATGTAATTTACAAATACAATAGTATGCACATAAACCCATTTCAGCATCTTGTTTACCAAACATGTGTGGCTAAGGCTTTTGCCTTCTGGAAGGGTGACATGGAAGCCCACTGTCTGTCGCATCTATGCAAGCGAAACTACAGATGCAACCAAATTTGCGACTTCTGCCTGTGCACCTCCCAGAAGAGTGTTCCAGAGTTGAGTTGGGGGGACCTGTCCATGCGAGCTCTTTTGCGTCACACACTGACACTGGCGCCGGACCCGCATGATTGCTCCCCATGGGTTGCAGTACCACACTATGAGAAATCAAAGCGTTTGTTAGATCTACTGCATTTGGTGCATCTGGGTACGCTGCGTGATTTGGTGGCATCTGCCATAGTGGATGCTCTTGAAGACAACACACTGGCAGAGTTTTACGGTTTGCGCGGCTGCCCGTATAATGTTATCTTGCATCGTTTCAGCTACCATTTCAGTGTGTGGTCAAAGGATCGCGACATGTCCCTGTACATTGGTACTTTGACAATGGCCCGGCTGAACAGGCCTGACTCCAAGGTATACCCCTACGCAGAGTTGGATAGCAGGATCAAAGCCTCGAAAGTGCGCACGCTCTTTGCATTTGTCACAATGGTCATGGTTCGGCTGGCGTTTTCGCCGGTGTTGGATACTGACGCCAAGAGGCTGCATGCGAGAGTCCGGGCAACATGTTGCTGGGCGTTGGATATATCCTTGAGTTGCTGGAATCTTTGCCCAAAAGTCCGCATGGCAGAATCGCATGTGAAGGAAAATGTGTGGTACTGCAGGTTGCATAGCGCGCGCTATCAGTATCTGGCAGGACAATGCATTGTTCAAAAGCGACTGCTGTACAAATGCCGCCCGAAGGCTCACTATTTCACACATATGGTCGACCACTTCCTTGCAACGCGGCTCAATTTAATGCACCTCAGCACCTTCATGGATGAGGACTTCATGGGTAAGATGAGAAATGTCTGCAAGGCTTGCCATGGGAACACCTACATGGTGGGCTGGGCACGACGCTACGTGCTCAAGCGAGCTCTACAGTGGAGAGAAATGAAAAATGCACGTGGACATGGCACGCATTCATTAGTGAGCGTATGGTGTGGTGCGTTCGTTTATTCTTTTCGGATGCTATAGTGTTGATTTTTTGTGTAATGAGTTTATGCATGGTGTCTAGTTTGGAAAGATGTGGTGTGAAGCAATAAGTGCATCTAACAATATTTATACACGTGGTGGTTGTGCATGTTTTGTTTTGCAAATTGGGGGTTTGAGATGTGCGGAAGTCACCACTTTCACGCCGCCACAACTTCTAGCGCGTTGGCGTTGCTATAAACATAATTCCAGCTTCATGGTTGGATGAACGGGTAGGTGAAAGTACACCTGAATATGTTTAAGGCAGCCCTTGATGAGGAAGAGGTGCACCTTTCTCTAACCACAAACACCTCCGGGTGTTTCTGTGCCACCACCTTTCGAACCACAAACACCCCTGGGTGTTTCTGCGCTGTTAGAAACGCCCCTGGGTGTTTATTGGGCTCAACAAACGCCCCTAGGTGTTTATTTTGCATCTGGGTGTTTATTAAACGCCCAAGTGCCAAATTGGTACCTCCAGGTAGGTTGGAGGGCATTGCCGCTATGTTGGAGGCCATTGCAGCTAGATTGGAAACCATTGCAGCTATAGGTTTGAGGTCATTGCAGCTAGGCGGTCATTGCAGCTAGGTTGGAGGCCATTGCAGTTAGGTTGGAGGCCATTGCAGCTAGGTTGGAAGCCATTGCAATTAGCTTGGAGGTCATTGCAGCTAGGTTGGGAGGCCATTGCAGCTAGGTTGGAAGCCATTGCAATTTGCTTGGAGGCCATTGCAGCTAGGCTGCCATTGCAGCTAGGTTGGAGGCCATTGCTACTAGGTTGGAGGCCATTGCTAGTAGGTTGGAGGCTGTTGCTATTAGATGAAATCATGAACTTAACAATAAACAACAATAAGAAACAACCTGAAGGACTTGCAAGTGGATTTGTGAGCCACTCCAAAAGACCTCTTTAGGCCTTCGGGGCAGGCTTTAGTCGGTGCTTTGAGGAAACCTCACAATGTATCTGGGCCCCAAACAACGAAAACATCCGACCAGGAGGCCTGACACCGCAAAGCGCATTTGGGGCACTGGCTAACTTTGGACAGTGTTTGTCCTTTTCCTTTTATATCTTCCTCTCCTTTTCGAAGTCGTCAAAAGCGTGTCTAAAAGAAAGCGTTCCGCAAGAAAAAACACACGTTTTAAGCGTTTCTTCTTCTTCGTTTTTTGATCTTCCTTAAAAACGTTTCCGAATTCAGAAGAAGACAAGGACGCGCCGTCACGCCGCACGCTTCGCCACGAGGGCGCCTGGTAGAGGCCATGCACCAAATCGCGTTGCCTGGAGGCTGTATCGAGAAGTGTTCCTTAAATTTAAAAAAATCGCCTGTCTTCAAAGTGAAAAAATCTGAACATATCAATTTTGAAGAAAGGACGACGAATTGACGAGACGAAAGGAACAAAGTAAGAAACCAGATAAACACTAGCAAGGAATCACCAGAAATCGAAATAATCAACACGCGATGATGACATGATAAAGTGCAACAACAACGTGAAGAAACGTAAGAAATATCATGGCGAGCCCATGGTGAGCATGTATGCAAGCATGTCCATGGGGCCTCTTTACGGACTCTTCTACATTCTTTCGCTGTTGCTCCAGCTTGACGTAACCTCAATGCTGCCGTCGACGTCCCAAAAATTAACATGTTTTTGTTTCGGTTTTTAAAACTTAAATAATCTCCTCAGTCTTGGACCGTCCTTGTTGTATTCGAACTCCCGCACCTCAACGAAAACGACACCGTCCGTGACGCTTGTCTTCTTGTCACGACGTCTAGTCCTGTCGCTCCGAGCTCCGGGACGGCGAAGCGTTTTTCCCGGCAGACCTTCTTAAAGCCCTCCACGGCGCTGCGGAACCTCGCAGGTGCACCGGAACGGTTTTTTTTCTTCAACTCTATCCTTTCCTATCCTTTTTCCTTTCTGTCTCAGTTCCCACGCATGACCACACGCCACAAGCTGTTGCCATCCTGCGGGTTCGGCGACGAAAAAATGACAAAGAACGCAACAAAAAAATAACGAACACACCGTGAATGGAGAGAGAAGGAACTTCGAGCGGTTTCCGCGAAACACCTTGTCGTCAATGCCTTTGAACTGCCTTGCAGATCTTGGCCTTGCAACGGCACAGCGCACAAACCGAAACAAAACGGCACGAGAGCTGCGCGACCGGTTTTTTGTCTGATTCTCTCATGTTTCTGTGTGCAAACCACGCCTTTCCCACCCATGTGCTCAAAGTGACAAGACACATTCTGAGCCGTTAACACCACATTTTCTTGCATTGTTTCGTACATCTTGAGAAACTCCTCCTCAAGAATTTGGGATGAACGTGGGCCTTCAGAATGTAACAAGTACACATGTCACATAGATCGTACAACTTGTGACGAAAGCATTTAGCATCAGCTCCACGAATGCATTTTGACTCCTCTCCGCCGCGAGGGACAATCACAGGAATGGTGGTGAGATGCTCAGTCCTTGTTTCAGGCCCAGTCTTCTTGGAAAAAAGAGAGCGTGCGCTTATGTTTGTTTTCTTTTGGGGCGGTGATAACAGCAAGCTGGCAGGCCAAGAAAAATAGCAGGCTTGCACGCTAGCAAGAAGGCTTTCGTGCTTTCAGTTACTTGTTCAAGCAAAGCCTCAATCAGGAAAACCTTGAGCCCACTGTCCAGAGCTGCGATGGTTGGGGGCGCGCCAACCAAGTTCAACTGATGAGAACAACCAATGTCAACGCGCAACGTTCCCAAATACAAGGTGGGGTATGACGCACGCAGACTTACAGGCTGGAATTCAAGGAGAACTCACAGGCTGAAACTCAGCGACTCGCAGGCTGCTCTGGCAGTGCGCCCATCTGCGATCACATCTAACCTAATCAACGCAGCTTGGCCTCGGCGCCAAACCGCTTGGCCTTGGCATCAAACCTTCGCCGGACCTTCGCCTCACTGACCCGTTATCTTGCCTCCAGGAGGCATCGCATCGGTCAGGCTCTCCTCAACCCGCAGGACGACAATCACCATGTCTTGGTCCGATTCATGGGCCGACGCGGAAACTTCTTCATCATCACCCACCTGCGTACGCGGCGGCTTTTCACTATCCGCTGTTTTTTGCCACTTCATATAGTTCGGTTGCCCTTTAGCTTTGGATAGATCGAGCTGACACCACTTGATATAGCCCAATCGCCCCTCGAGAAAACGAAGTGATCGCGACGCATTTAACTGGCCAGGTGTTCAAACTCAAAAACGCGCGATTCATGCGTTGCGCTGCCATGTACTGTTTCCAGCAGATTCGCTTTCAACTTCTTTTGCGCAAAACCTGTCTGGAAGCCGTCACCCAGTAACAAAGCTGGAGGAGCCAAGGGGCGTTTGGCATAGTCGCTGTGCGTTTCTCCTCGGCGGAAAACAGGTAGCGCTTGTCAAGCCCAAGCTTACTAAGTCGACGTGGCAGCGCGTATGTGTACGTTGGCTCATGTATCTTTGAAACTGGCACCAACTTCTTGGGCGTAAGAAACTCCAGTCAGGTAGCGTGACCATGCGGCGAAATGCAGACAATCGAGCGCCTGGCGACTCATGAAACGGCAAAGACTTTGGTCCGCCCACAAGTGGCTCCGAAAGGGGTAGTCTCGCGCCACACATCGGGACGCTAGCAATTGAAGTTGAGACACGCTCCCAGCGCTTCAAACAAGCTCATTTCTAGAAGCTCTTCTAGCAGAAGCTTTGTTTTGTAGCTGGCAGCTCTGCTTGAAGCTTCTAGAGAAATCTCCTAGAAGCGCTTCTAGGGATTGCCTAGAAGCTCTTTTAGGAGCTTCTAGGAATGGGGATGTGGGAGAGCTTCCAACACAACCAACACTAAGACCCCCACAAATTTGCAGCTGCAAGATTTTTTAGCCTATACTGGGTATGGAGCGATCAAATTGCTTCTTTGGGCAGCAGTGAAACAATGCGCCTGCTAACAGGCATTGTGCCTGGGTCAGGCATTGCCCATGTGGAAGAGCTTGGAAGAAGCGCCTAGGTCAAGCATTCCCAATGGAAGAGGCAGCCTGGTTCAATGTGAGGGCAGGATTGGATGCCATCCATGTCAGCAAGACCTTTTCACTTTGCGCTCGACAAGAATGCTGGCCACCCCTTCTATAGAATAGGGCTTGAATCTGACCAGCAAAAGTTTCACCTCTATAGTTCCAGGAATCTTTGGGGTTGGCTCCCAGTGAGACTTCATCCATGAGGTGCTCAAGCAAATGCATTTTTGGCTTACCCTCCAGGTGAAAGTGTCATCTTCATCCTTGGAAATAGCTGCGGCTTCCAGAGCCGAGTACTGGCTTTTAAACGTACCCAAAATGTTTCACCAGGCTCAAAGGATTGAACTTCTCCATGTTTTCGTAGGCCCTGCCACAGAACCTGGCCACATTGAATACAGCTTTCTGATGGTTGGAGCCTTTGTCCAGGCTTTTGTTTTGGGCAAGCTTTTCCAGCACAGATGTGCAGAAATGCCTAACACCAGCAGCTTTGCCTTCCAATTCAGCAGGCTTTTTTGGGTTTCTTAATGTCATTGTGCCTGAATTTGCGAAATCGCACATCACTGGGCACATGCTCTGCATCAGAAGTCTTTTTGACATCGCACCAAAGGCTGTCCAGCCTTTCATCTTTGGTTTTTGCCTTTGTAAGCAGGCATTAGTTCAAACAACACTTGGCCTGCTGCCATGGCACCACAGCCTTCATCCATGACATGCAATCAGTCAGGCCTCATGGCTGCATTGGTGATGCCAGGGGGCCTAAACAGGGGAGCCACATGCTTTTGTCTGTCTTCCAGGCTTTGGAGCCAGCCTTCAAAGCTCAAGCTTTTCTTCTTCCTTTCTTTGGTTGTAAGAGCCTTCCATTCTCCAGGCTTTGCTGAGCAAAGCCAACAGCAGCCATGATTAGTGTTCCAAGTGGGAGCACCATATAATTTGGAATACCAGTCCCAATCCCCTCTCATCTCCATGAGAGCTGCCTCACCAGGCTGGACTTGCCCAGCTTTGCTTAGCCTTTCTTGTCTTCAGGCTTCTCAAAAGGAGTACCATCATGTCTGGCATTTGGGTAGCTGCCTTCCCCCAAGCATCTCAAGGACAAAGCTATGACCTCCAAGATGGCCTGGGCGGTCTGGTGGCCAGAATTCCACCTTGTATCCAAGCAGGTGATAGGCACCCTGAGCTGGCTACGCAACTTGGTAAATTGAACGAAAAAAACTCACGTGTGGATTGGTTCATCCTGCCTTGCACAGGCCCCAGGGGCGCCATGGAATGCCTTGGGTTGCGCCAGGCATTATTGCCTGTTGGTCAGAATGAAAAGTGGTTCTGGCAGGCCTTGCCTCCTCTTTTGCACAACTTTGCCAAAAATAGTCTGCTAGCCATTCATGGTGTCTAGCTCCTTTTCCTTGCTTTGCCTGTTCCAGGCATTTGCTCTGCGTTTTCTTCTTTTGCCTTTGCAGGCAGCCATTGAGGCATTGCCAGATGGAGGCTTTGCCTCTTCAAAACCGCAGGAGCATGTGAACCTGCTCCCAGAGCCTTTTCTCAGGCTTTGGATCTGGGCTCTTGCGTGAGCTGGATGTAGAGCCTTCTGCAGGCTTTGAACTTTCCCGTTGAGCTGCAGGCCTTTTGCAACCCTTGAAGCCTCAAAGATGCCTGTGTCAGACATTGGGTGTGGGTGGTGAGTGTCCTGAAAAGCTCAACCGGGCATTGAATTTCTTCTCCACCTTACCTTCTGGGACCGCAGGACTCTCCATTGGCACAGGGCTCTCCATTGGCACAGGCTTCACATTCCGATCCTCCAAAGCCAATGGCCCAGCCACAAAAGAAGTGTTGGCCTTATCCAGCAAGCTCTGCAAACCCAGTTCCCTTGGACGAAGCATTGTGAGATTCACAGGTGCAGTGGGAGTTTGGGCTTGTGTCATAGCCATTCCCAAGCACAACATCTGAAAAACAGCTGGGCGTTCGCTTCAGGCAAGCCGCTGGTTGAAAACTGCAAAGCCTGAGCCACATCCTTACGTGGCTTGCGAAACTCTTGACTATCGTCAACACGAGGATTGCGGCGCTTCGCAACCATCCGGACAGGAAATCTGTAGGATCTCGTTTGGCGCCTCCGTCACATTGGCTGGCAATGTGAGAACCAAACTTGGCGTCAGGCCATGTGTGCTCTTGTGCTTCGCGATCTTTGCATGCATCTGCGCTTGGACATTGCCTGAGTATGCACCCCTCAAACAAAGAGAAAAGTACATCACCACCAATGCTCTATTGGAAATCGTTTCTGTCCACTTTTGTGACCACTTTACAGTAGAAAAGGCGAAAGCACAACTGCATGCCCTAATCATTGTAGGGATGCAAAGCAGGCTTCGAAGTGCATTGCTGGCTCCACTCAAAAAGGTAGCTCGTCGTTCTTGACATTCTCGTAGCACTAAAAGAGCCATCAAAATCGCTTGCGTAGGTTCTGATGGGGTACCTAGCCCCATAGACAGCAACGTGTTTAGAAGCACATATAAAGCTCCTATCATGTTCAAGTCCTGCTTTTGAAAGGTTTCCCACGTCTTCGCAGGTATGTAAGCTGCAGAAAGCTCCCAGTGTTGCACGCCTTGGCGCTTAACCGCCTCGCTAGCCATGCTCATGATGGTGCTCACACCACCACCGCCACCACCGCCGGGACACAGAACCCCCAAAGCCTGTGAACAAAAACATCGCAGAGCAAAGATTTTGAGCATCACTGGCGGACCACCGCCAATAGAGAAAGAAAAAAAGAACAGCGACCAAAACATAAAGCAGCATCAAACTATGCTGAAAAGAGTTGCCCTCACCTAAATAGCGCAAACCCGTATTTTTGTAGAGAGCAACCAGAAACGATACCAACGCACAATATGATTTGCTAACTTCAATAACTTAGAGATAAGATTCCGGTACCAAATTTTGATCACAAGTTACAACAAAGTAAAAAAAACAACATGTTGGAGATGCTAGTTGCGTGTTACTTATAGCTTTGACTTGATTTAAGTTATTTACACCTAGCTATAACCTATGTTACACCTATTTAAAACATACGTTAGCCCTAGTTATAACTTGGGCTAATTAGGGGGGCACCCATTGTATAGGCCACAGCCACTTCGGCCACTTTTCCGTCCTCCTCTTGCAGAGTGAGTTAAAGACATGGCAGGCTTGTGGCTCGGTCAGTGAAGCCTGTCGACCCCACGACCATCTCCGAAAAGAGAGCGCTTTCAACGATTTTGTGGAGGCCATGGGCGACGTGCCCCCGGCGCTGGCCAAGAAGGCTTCAAACTTGGAGCCCCGCGGCTGACCTCCCGATGGTAGACAAGAAAGATAATTGCTGGTCCAAAAGCCAAGACAAATCTGAGGCTGATGAACCTCCAAGGACAGCTTCAAGGCCCCAGGCGCTGAGGCCCATTTGAGCACCAGCAAGCTTGCAACAGGTGGAAATTCGACACGCTCAAGGGATAGTGGTTCATATATATATATATATGTATATTTGTGTTTGGTTCTATTTGGCAAATAGGTTAAGAACGAAACCAAACCCGCGCACGAGTTGCCGCATGTGGTGTGTTGCGCTGGATTGGCGGGATGTGTTTCCTCTTTTTGAATGAGAGGAGTCTCGCATCAAACCCGACCGCAAGATCGACAGTGCGGAGTTTGAAAAAAACTGGTTCATATGTTGCCGCGGTTGGGTTCGTGGAGCAAACGTGAAGTACGGAAAAGAAGAAAAAGAAAAGACAAGAACAACCGTCTTTCGAGCTTAATCAGTTGGTTTTCAGTTTTTAGCTTCTATGTTGCACCGACAAGTTTCGCTCAAAGTCCGTGGCCGACAAATCGAACTCCAACCTGGAGCCCACTGGACAGGCATGAGAACGAGCTTCTCAGCAGCTCTCTGCAGGACGGCTGAGAATGATGAAAGGGCAATGTGAACTTTGAAGTCGATTTGGAAGAAAGATGAGAAATCCAAATCGAATCCGAAAACGAAATGAGAAACAATTGCTGTGTTTCGTCTTGCGCTAAACGTGAGTCAAGGTCCCGGACTTGGATGACAAAAAAGAGAAGCCTCTTCTTTACACCTAGTGACTATTAAACCTAGTGATATGCGTTACAAGTAGCTCCTTGCTAGTAGTAATGCCGCTACTGGTAGCAATGCTCTTGCTCCCAGCGAATTCTCCACTTCTGACACCGGCAAATTCTCTGTTACCTTTCCTTTCCTGAATCCAAGCAGAATCTACTACTCCTCCGTGTGGAGCGCGGACGCCGAAGATTCGTTCGACATCTTTGTGTTTTTAAACTGACAACATCTTCTGGTTTCGAATCACAAAAACTACTTGGTCCGATCAAACATTGTTTTTTGGTTCGAAAATTGATAACTTCCGACTGTCAATCGGTCCGTTTGGGACATCAGTGCAGCTGAGCCACGAAATGAAATCATCATCTGGACCGCCATCTGCTTTCACTTTGTCCGGCGTTAACACATCAATCAAATCCCTTCCTGGCGCCAAAGAGGTTGCGTCAACGTGCTTCTCTCTTTCGAGAGTCCAACCAAAAACAATCCAAGACCAGATTAGACTATTTTCTAACTAATAGTCTATTGAAGAACTCTAATACTTAGAATTTGAATAAAGGATTAGTATAAACGAGTAGATAATTTAAAGTCTGTTTCGCTAAAAAGACTCAAGTCTATTTTGTTAAATAACATTGGCATGTCAAGGTTATGTTGTAAAAACATAAGATCTTGTAAAGACATTTTGTTAATTCATCTGAGATGTTTGCGGTCACAAGTTTTAGAAAACAATAACGTGAGCAATGCGTGTGACACGCAAAAGGCCTAAGGCCTAAGTAACATTGAGCAGAGCCTAAGTAACATGGCCTATAGCGGCAGTACATGGCTTAAGTAACGTGCATATTTATTTCGTTCAAACTCACACCAGAAGGTGTTTTTGTCTCAAGAAAGACTTAAGCTGGCACTACAGAGGATGATCCAAGACAGCTCAAAAAAGGTGAGCAAAACACACTTCCATACAGATGACTTTGTCGAGCAGGTAGATGAAAGGATTCGTGTTTCGCTTGCGCAAGCCAGAAGCATCAAGAAGAACCATGAAGCTTACGCGGCCTCTTTGCTCGAAATCCATGTGAACACTTGGGCTGGAGATCCTGGGGATTCATTCATTCCAGCAGCAGGCATTGAAGCAGGTGGCCTTGAAGGGTAGGAATCTTTCTGAGCCCTGAAAGGCACATACTGTCACCAGCTGCATCCAGATGAAGGTGTTTCAAAACGCAGTCAACCTTCTCTTTGTCTTCGAAGGTGGCCGTCCAAAGGGGACAGCTTGCAAACAAGGCCCATTGAAAAGGCCAGCCAAGACTTCTCCTGAGGAGGCAGAACCTGAACAGCCAGGTGAGCTTGAAGCAGAAGAGCCACATGAGGAAGCAGGGCCTGAAGAGCCAGGAGAAAAGAAGAAATGAAGCTTCAAACACGTAAAACAAGCAGTGTGTATGCCAAGGAAAGGAAATTAATAGCAGTTGAAGATGGGAGCTTCCCCTGCAACAGCCAAAAAGAAAGCCAGGGCAGCCCTTCGAGAGGTAGCTGCCAAAATTGATGCAGGTTTGAACAAAGAGTTTTAACTTTGTGAAAAGACAGGGTTTGTTTCACCAGCTGTGAGGAAAAACACTGTGCTTTATGCTTTGTGACAGCATGCAAGCAGCACCTAGACTGTTGCAGGTGCTTTCTTTTGCTTTCTACTGCTTTCAATAATTCACACAATTAGACCTTTTTGAATCAACCTCTATATAGGTAGCAAGAAACAAAAGTAGCAAAGAAATAGGCGCAGAGATTCCAAGTAGCAAATAACTAGGTAGCAAGAAACTAAGTAGCAAAGATCTAGGTAGCAAAGCTGCTTGGCAAAAGGTGAAGTTATAGGCTGCAGGGCTGGTAGCCAGCTTCACAAAGATCTGACATTCTAGGTGCAGCACGTTTGGTTCAAGGTGAAAGTCTCAGCAGCAGCTATATCTAATTAGCACATTGACTTGTAAGTCGTTTGGACGAGTCACTACTCCCCAAGACCCCTTCCAGTCTGGCGTGGTGGAGCAGACCGAGTCTTGGGGCCTCTACTCGCCTGTTTCCTCTTAGGTAGGTCTCACACCTTGTGCCCTGCCATGGATAGTGGTTCGTGTCTGAGGACGCCATCGATCCTCGAACCTCGCTTCAACAGCCTGAGCGAGGGAGATCGTGTTACACTTGTAGCTGACATTGCGCTTCATGGTGATGCTTTTGCGATCTGCAGGTCGGCCATTTTCGGACAGGGCTTTCGTTTGGTTGGATCGATTCCTCTTGGTGCATCAAAAATTGCAATCTTGGGCGCGGTCTTTGGTCGAGATCACATGGGCACCTCCTTGCGCAGCGAAGGAGATCGATTTATTCTTCGCCAATTCCGACGGAAGAGTCCCTGTATACACTGTCAACGAGGTGCGCGCGGGAATCGGAGCTCTCGGAGAAGGTGCAAGGTTTGCTGGGTGGACCATTGGCGCCCGCAATGAGATTAATCCAAAATTTTGTGGTATCTTGGAAGACCACCATGTTGGATCAGTGGTTCAAGGCGACATTGGGTTGCTTAGCACTGTCATCGACATGCATGAGTGCTCTCCTCGGCCGACAGTTGTTGCAGCTGGATACAATTGCCAGCTATGCGTGGCTGTCTCAAGCTCCTTTGATTGTCCTGGAGTGTGTAGTCGAAGCTTCGTCCTCTCAATGGGTAAAGCAAACTCTGCAAGCTTTTGAGCAACAGACCAAGATGGTGCGCAGTGAGGTGATCCTGAACTTGGGTCAGTATGTGGCCTGCACGCCGCAGAAGATGGTGGGTGGTTTTCTCCCATCCTCGCATTGGCAAAGTCCCGCTGAGCGAATTACCTATCCTGCAACAGGTGCCTGCGATTAGTGATTTGTTCCCGCACTTTTTGGTTGAGGAGGAGGACACCGACCTCAGTGCCCAAAGTCACCCAAATTAGTAATTTTACTAACCATAAAATTTACGTAAATTTTTGGTTTTACTAAGGAAAATTTACGTAAAAATTTACGTAAATTTAATAGTAAATCCAATTTAGGTTATGAGTAAATCCAATTTAGGTTATTAGTAAATCCAATTTAGGTTATTAGTAAATTTTTTAGGTTATGAGTAAATTTTTGCGAGCATGATTTTGAAGCAGAAAATGTCTCTATTTATGTGAGTTGGCTTTCTCCAAAGAGGCAGGTTTTCTACAGGACAACATGTACTTGAGGATATTTGCGCTATGGATTTTTGTTTTTGTTGACTGAGCATGCCAGGAGGTGTGGACTTTGCCTTTACTTGAAGGGATTGCATTTACTTGAGCATGTGTACCCTTCTTGACTTGAACAAAACATTTTTACTTGAGGGTGTCTACTTGAGGGAGTAAATTTACTTGAGGATATGTACTTTTCTTCACTTTAGGAAGAAGAGCATTCTCTGATTCTCTGATGGCTTTTGCCAGTGTGAGGGTGCATGTTTTATGTGAGAGATCTTTTGGCTCTGTGAGAAGAAGAAAAAGAAGAAGAACAAGAGACACCTCAGCAAGAAGGAAACAAGCAGTGAAAGCGCAAAGCTGACAAGATTCTTGGACTGAACTTTAAACAAGTTTGCTTGTTGAAAATTAATTGTTCAAGTTTGTATTAACTGCAGCAAATGAACAAGAGTTATGTCAATGTTGGCTTGAAACCATTGTCAGGAGGCGTGACCGCATCAATGCCATGATGGACTTGATGAGGACGCTGCAAGATGACAGCAGTTCATCTCCGGAATCCTTGGAGTGAAAAAGACACAAGCAGCCTTTGGGGTAGAGTTGAGGGCACGCATTGTGACATGATGTTGAGAAGCTGTTACATGAAGAAGATCTGACTTTACTTGAGAAGCTTTTACATGAGGGTGTGACTTTACCTGTTGAGCTTTTACTTGAGGATGTGATTTCACTTGAGCATGGCGCACTTTACTTGAGCATGGCAGACTTTACTTGAGCATGGCACACTTTACTTGAGCATGGCAGACATTACTTGAGGATGGTTTTACTTGAGTGTATTTTACTTCAGTGGTTGAGACTTTGTGTAAGTATACTTTACATGAGGACGCCATTCAACTTGGAATTGTGTGCTTAGTCTTGTTTAGTTTTGTTGTGAGTTGAAGTGTATTTGATATGTATTTATGAAATTTAGTTCAAAAAACTAAAAATTTAAGAGAAAATATTGATGAATTCTTGATGAACTTTTGATGCACTTCTGATGTACTTTTGATGTACTTACATCAGAAGTGCATCAAAAGTGCATCAAAAATTCATACAATTTTTTGACAGATTTTATGAAAAGCTATGATATTCTGCATCATATTGTCAGCAAAAAGATATCTAGCATTCTTGTGGGTTTATCCTTTACCTGAGAATGTAATGCTTTTGCACAAAGAGTTGATCAGCATTGTATGTTGTTCAATTTGAAGTTGGTTTATCCTTTACCTGAGAATGTAAAGCTTTTGCACAAAGAGTTGATCAGCATTGTATGTTGTTCAAATTGAAGTTGGTTTATCCTTTACCTGAGAAGGTAATGCTTTTGCACAAAGAGTTGATCAGCATTGTATGTTGTTCAAATTGAAGTTGTTGAGAGTTTACTGCACAGCTGGCTTATTGGTTGTTGTTTACTTTTGCAGCTAGATTGATCTCAAAGAGCTTTGAAAGGTTTGAAAGATAGGCGCAGTAGCTTGTTGGCATTGGCATGGCAGAGGAAGAGATCCCCATGGGCCAAGTCACTCCTGAGGAGAAGGACGATGGTGTAGTTGAAGAGCCCAGTACACCTGTGAAGCAAAGGCCAGCTTCCAAAGCAAAGACCCCAAAATCCAAGAGCCCAAAAGCAAAGAGCCCTAAAGGGAAGAAGCCCAAAGCAAAAGGAAAGAGCAAGCCAAAGCCAAAGCCAAAGGCAGGCTCTTTAAAAAGGCCTGCTGCCAGTGGAGAAACCGTACAGCCAAAGAAGAAGCCAGCAGCTCATGGCTGGGCAGCAGGGTTGCAGGAGGATCAGGAGGAGGAAGCACCAGAAGTTGAAGAGGATGAACCAAGAGAATGTGGAGGAGGAGGAGGCGGAGCAGGACAATGCAGACTTCTTCGAGTGCGATGAGGCCAAGAAGGACAGGTCGAAGGACAACAAGTTCAAGGCCTTGTTGTCTGAGGGCTCTCTGCCAGACTATGTTGTGCAGGCTTGGAAGAAGACCTTGAGCATGAAGAAGGGACGCACAGAAGAACAGCGCAAGATAGTGAACCAAGTCCTGGACAGGACAAAGGATGGAAAGCTCATGGTGCTTATACCCAAGATATTTTTCTTGTGCTTGTCTTTCCTGCGTGCTTATACCTGAGTGTGTGTGCTTGTGGTTTTATCCAAGTGTCTCTACTTGTGGCTATATGTTTTACAAATTACTTTCTTCAAAAGATGTGTTTTAGATGCAGTTT